TTTACTGAGTCCTCTATCAGAATGGCTATAAAACTGGCGTAAATATATGAAAACTATTCACAACCAAGTAATCTCAGAACAACTGTCCAAATTGCGAATAACACTAGTGAACTGAGGACAAATCCAAATCACCGACCTTCCACCAGCACTAGCAACTGAGTTGTGGAGAGCACTTGTTGCAGCCACATTTATCAACTTGGATTTTGCATCTGTTGCAAAAAATATTGTCAATGCGCCAACAGTTGCCGTTTGTGAGTTGCACAGTGGATCGAATACAATTATCGACGAAGAGCTAATTAGAAAATAGACGGGAAGTTGGTAGACTTCGAGGTGAGAATTCCTGATACACACAACATTAGCGAAACTGAGGTAGCCACATGCTATTAACGTCTCGTGTGCCTTTCGAAGAAATGACCCGGTGTTGCTGGCAGCTCAGAAGGTTTCTCCCAATGGAGTCCCAATGGTATCAATAGGCTTGACGGCGTTGAGTAAGGCGGTGTAAGCAATGGTGCGTTAGAAACCTCGGTACGACACCGTAGTTGCAAACAACTGGACAGGTGATCGTGATTCAGTCAGTTACCACCATTAGCTTTGATGTTAGTGGACCTAATTGATGAAGCAGATAATCCGCATTGCGACAGTCGCTATGACCTTCGCAAGTTTTGGTCAAGGGGTTAGAGTAAACGGATAATTTTGACAGGGAGTTAAAAGTTCTCGCTCCGGCATCAAATAAGCGACTACGAAAATGATGTGAAGCTGCTTAGCAATTTGCAGCAGCATCTTGGAGTACATTGGCCCATCCAGAATCACACTTGCTACACTACTCACTTCTGCAAAGTAGTGGAGATTCCGTATGGACATGTTGATAGCATTGCTGGAATATGTTTGAAATAGTTGGAAGGTATTAGACGTTCCGGGTAGTTGGTTCATTTCGCAAATTCTGGTGGCTACACAGAAGGCATGTTTATTGAAATTTTCCAGCCTTTCAATCACCGAATATGGACTTCTGTTAGGAGGAAGTGACGAGTCTTTGGCTGCTAGGATGACAGCGATTCCTTCCCGACTGGAGACCACTGTCGGTGCAGACGTCAAGTAGTTTCACTTAATGTACCTGCTTTATAGTCTGCAACATTTTTACCATGAGGGATTGGCTGTAGTGATAGTTCTTTTCCAAACAGCGGCAATGATATAATCAGCCACTCGAAATCTCAGCAAGGCAAATACAAAAACCTCGCACAATTTTTGAAGACTAAACTACATTTCCATTTTTCGGAGGTTAAATTATCCAGCCTCGTGGCTAATCTTTTATGCCGTAAGTGGAAACACCTCGAAAACCGCAAAAGATATGTATCTTTTCAGCGTACCGGCCACACAAGTAAACACCAAATTTTCAGATTGACGATAAAACTGACAGCATATATTAACAAAATACGCTGATTTGCGTAACAATTTGGTTTTTACGGAACACCCACCTTGTTTGTGATGTTTTCGAGCAACTGAGTGTGCTGTACTGGGTGACTTCATGTTCCAGTTGGTACGCTATTCGGGATATCGCGATACATGTATGGGCGTAACACGCTACTCATAAGGTTATTGAAAACTCTTCGACAGCCCAAACCTGGTTTCGCCTCTCTTAAGGCTCACCAGGTTAGCGCATTCCCAGAAGATAAACACATCATAAACGAGAGAGTCAGCCGGGTTTAAGGTGAGTCCGCCATCAAAATCAAGCTGGTATGCAAATTGGTGTATCTCGCTAATTTCGAGCAATTCGGGTTCAATTAGGTTGATGGCAACTTGCTTACTACGGTTACCTGATGAACCCCGAGAAAAGTAAAACCGGTTCTAGGCCGTCGCAGAGTTTTCAACATCCTTACGTGTGATTCCTTATACCTATGATGGTATACATGTCAACCGTTGGCAAATTTGTGAGCAATGCTGGGCAGAAAAGTGCCCCCTTATAACCAGCCAATACTGAATGATTCCTAAACACTAAAGCAAAGACACAGTTAGACGAACTTATATTCTTCCATTACTTTACACCCAATGTTTTGAAGTTAATCAAAAACAGACGTGAAACTTTCCACTAATGGAGTAAGAATCAGACGCTTCAGAAGATGGTCGGAGTAATGAGAGTACAC